TGATCTACTTTATACTAGCTTAATGAAGTGATGAATATTTCTATGTCGTTCTATGGTTTTCTTAGTGAAGCTTATTGTTGACATACAAACACTTAACAAAAACAGGACACCCTCTTTCTCTCAATATTCTATTAGGTCCTTCATGAAGAAGATCAATGCCTCTTCCTTAACATCAACCCAAGACTTCCTGGTCTGTCTGTACACATACATTTTATATAGGACAGATCGTTTATGGGTGTAATGAAGAATTGATTATGTACCTGCCTGTATCCCACCTGAGAGATTCTACAGACAAGACACGGTTTCATGAAACAATATGAGACTTAAGTGTTTGATCAGCCAATCACGTATGGCGTCACTTTTTATGACGTTGTCTGTGATTGGCTAAGTCAAGACTTAAAAACAATGCAATCTGATGCTGAAGTTTTTGCTAAGTCAATCACATATGGCATCACTTTTCATTATGCTATCTGTGATTGCTTAAGTCAAAACTTGTGATTGTTTTATGATCTCAGGGCCAGGTAGTCATCAGATTTAATTTATTTTATTTATATCTTGTCTATATTACATCTAGACTGCTGTGTATATACCGGTACATGTTTGAACACTGATCTACCTGAAATCGATCATCTACCAGTGGATTGATCCCGTTCCAGTTATCTAGGCCTTCATTGTCCTGGCCGACAAATCGATCATTCTGAAATCCAGAAGTACAGGGTAACCTCCATCTTACAACTAGCCATTCTGGTCAAAACAAGGCAGACATATCACACTAAATATACCTCATACAAACAAATAGGAGAAAAAAGAGTTGTCTACCTTGAAATATAAACATCTTGTAGAAGTTAATACTTGATCAATGGAAAAGTCAGGTAAACTGTTTAATACTGAAGTTTTAAAGAAGCAGTCCAATAATTATATACAGATCAGAGAATTATTTTATATATACAGTCAAAAATTGTGATTTAAAAGTGTAGGAGACATCACAAATCTGTTAGAGATAAATACATTAGTATTTGTGTCAGAAGTATACAATTTTACATTTAGAGTACCATGCAGCCTTAAGGCAGATATTGCCGGGCCTATATATTCATGGGAAGTGCCTGGTACTGAAACTTTTTACAAGCTCTGGTGTAAAATAAAAATGTTGGACTTCAGGCAAGTGGAATTGTATACACATATTGTGTATTGTTTTTGAAAAATCTTTTTCAACCTTGAACAATTACCAGGTAGATAAATTCGACGTAAGAGTCAAAGCTCAATGGAAGAGAACGAATGTATGCAATAAAACAAATTTAACACATGTACATTATAGGTAGAGCCGGAAATTTACTGCTTGGAAATAAAACAATAATCAAATAAAACAAATTTTGACTGTACAAAATCCATTTTTGCAGGGAAAAGATTTTATATTGATTTAATTTCAACGAACAGCCCTGTATATTGGAACAAAGGCCACTATAGCAAGGGTTGTTTATAAGTATACCACAGAAACAAGCAATATACAAAATTCAGGTTTTTTTAACAGGCATTATACACCACATTTACATTTTATATATGAGATACACTAGCCTATTAGTACATGTCTAGCAGTTAATTACACATGTCCATCTTTTTCCCAAAGCCAGTTGCATGCAACAATATTTTTGCATGAAGCATTCTATAGGACATTTTCACCAAGCCTGCATGCAGCAACAAATGTTTTGTAGTGTATAAGCATTCACCATATATATCAGACAGTATTTCAGCTCTTCAATCAGCGAAGGTATAGTAAATATGTTAATAACTGAACGTAAATACTTTGTGTACATGCAGATATATAGCTTCAGCTATTTTTACCGTCATGTGTAATTTCAAGTTAAAATGAATTATGTCAGTAAATAAACATGTACCTATCCAAAACCACCATATGCATCTACGCTTTAACTTATATTATAACCATCCATGAACCTTGACCCGAACACCATAGCAAAATTTGTACAAGTAAACAGTTAATTTTAAAATGAAAGATTTCCCTATCCTATTTTATTCTTAGCTTTGCATAGATACATATATTGTTTCAGATTAACTGGGGGGAAAATTCGAACAACTTTTCCTTCAACGAAATTTCTCTGTGGGGAAAATACAAACTTCAATGGAAAATCTCCACTTTGGGTTTAGAGTCCCAACGCTGTGTGCTGTATCTTCAATGAAGAACATGCCTGTCCATTTACTTATACATGTAATTGCAAAGAATTACATACTGGTACAAAAGAATAATTCTTATTACTCTCATTTTCACAAGAAACGTTTTTGCTATTGGGATTCAAAACCCCAGACCTTCAGTGTATAAACAGACAGCATATCTACAACACTTAACTAGTCCTATTCTTTCTTTTAGGACTTTTTGGTTGGGAATAATTTGTTCCAACTCCCTTAAAAAGCCTGCAACCTATAATCATCTTTATATAAATATTGGGGAAATAACATAAATTTTACAGTGAAATATTTTTTAAATGCCTGTGTACTGTAGGAACATGACAGTGTCAAGAAGTGTAACACAGTTATATGTACATCTCCACCCTGTACCAGTGCCTAGAGATCATATACTTACAGTAATAAGTTATATCTTGAATGGTAGGACAAAATCAACAAACAAATGCATATTGGGAGATCCTTCATAAGTACACACTAAACAGTGCAGTGTTGTAATTAGGTTATATGTTTGTAAGATTCCCTTCTCCCAGCACCCACACCTCTATTTGAACAGATCAATATAAACTAGTAGCTAACATCAATTAAAAAAGGTCATAAGAAACAAACAAATGATAAAATCCTGTAATCCCTATGGTAGAAGAATGATTACAAAGGTTTTACCTGTATTTCCCCTATTGGGCCCCGCCCTCTGCCCTTGGGGCCACGCCCAACGTTTATACAAAATTGAGTGCCCTTGACCAAATTTGGATGAAGGGATGGTAGAAGAAGAATTTTAAAGGTTTATTTCTATTTTCCCTATTCAGACCCATTTCTCTGCCCCCAGGGGGGCCACACCCGTTTATACAAAATTGAGTGCCTATGGCCCAAGGATGCTGCAGACCAAATTTAGTTAAAATCCACAAAACCGTTCTGGACTAGTAGCTTTTTAAAAGAAAAGTTAACGGACGGAGGGTTGATTGGTGTTGCGCCATGACATAAAAAAATGTTTTAATTAAATTGTGACGGGCTAAAAAATGCATGCACTAGAGGTAAAAATGCCTGATATTAAAGGTTATCAAAGTGACCTTCAGCCTAATATTAAAGGTTATCAAAATGACCTTCAGTCTGATTTTAAAGGTTATCAAAGTGACCTTCAGCCTGACATTAAAGGGAATCAGTTTTGTAATATATATACTGCCTTAAAGTTTCTTACACAACAATAAGATCTCAATGTGTAGATTAATTCCTTTTATAGAAATCCTCATTCGGATGCGAGTAGTTTACATTTTGGTATACCAGGCACCTAGTATTTCTGTAGAAGTTTTCTAGTCACATGTATATCACAGCCCTACTCCAACGCTCACAGAGATCGATGGGGAGGAATGGGGTGGAGAAAAACTAAAATCGTCTACTCTAGCTCTTTATATATATCACAAGAATACATAGCAGGAAAACAGTACTCCTAGACGCCAGGCGTGCCTTTAACTCATTGTCCCCTGAAGACACATTTGAACCCTTCCAGTTCAAAGGTTGGAATAGTTCATTATTAAATTTCAGATGTGAATGAGTTCAAGTCTCTAGCTTCTGGTGCTGTTTTTTAAGTGATAAAGCTACCCACACCACTAAACCATCTCCTTCACCATAACTAATTGATAATCTTATTCAAGCGGACAGCAACTGAACAAAAATCAACTTACCAACCGTGGGTGGATATGACTGCCGAAACCCACAATATAACGACCAACTCCAGAGGGTGCAATTCAACATTTTGTTGTGAACATAGCAGTTTATCGGCCAGTTATCAATGTCACAGAGTTAACAGAACCAGACCTGAAGTCTGTATTTAGACAGTTTACAAAATGTTGAAAACCAATCAGAAAAACTAACAAATTGTGTTGACAATTCAATTATTCGTTTCATTTTTAGTTTGTCAAAGCTACAATATATCTAGATGATTAATAAACTTTATATAACCAAGTTTGTATTGGTTTATCGTGACTACTGAAGGGATATTCCAGAGTACAATATTCATGTCTTATCAAAGTTTTACTTTCTATGCAAACAATGTACATATTAAAATTACCTTTAGCCTGATATTGTTTGTGTAGAAAGTAAAACTTTGATATTACATATTTCAAAACTGATGAGTCTTATTGAAGATATTATCCAGTCTTGTTAACAATTTGAGTCGGTCTTATATGTTATTTCTTATTTCTAATGGTTTACTCAATCAGAGTCGCAAGGTCCGAGTTCATGGAATGGCCAATCTGAGTCGATCTGTGTTAATTCTGATGTTGTGGATAATCAGAGTCAGTGGTCTTTTTATTTCTGATTTTGTTTAACGTCGGAGTCAGCCTGTAATATTTCTAATCGTGTTTGGTAATTGGAAGTTTGTCCATTTAATTTCTAAATATGTTGGCAATCAGAGCTTGGTCTGTGTTGAATCTATCAGTGATACCAGATTTGATATCAGTGAAAATCTTAAAGTAATTAAGTCAGGATTTCAGTATGTCAAAACATGTATTAAAATAATATATCATAAAAACATGTATTAAAATAATATATCATAAAAACGTATCTTCATCAAAAGGAAGGCAAAAAGAGTAAGCAATACATTTTTTTTTTTCGAATCTGATAAATCTTGAGCACAGTACTAGTACCAAAACTTTGCTTGTAATCATTGTAAAATTGTATTACACTACTAAAATTAGTTTGGTATCATAATAACTGTTTATTAAAATATCAAATCTAATCGTAATATGATGTCAAATCTGACTGTTAAAGTCAATTCTAGCTACATCTCGACTGATAACAAGAAATTCACATCAATTTCACATTATTTTATTATCATAATTTAAATATTTATTACAAAATGATTTCAAGCCTCAATCCCCTACTACAAACTAACCTACTTCCTACCTATACAACACCTGTCTATACCGCTTAATTTAGATTCTCGATGTTTACGATCATGAATGAGATATCCATATCCAACTCATTTTTACACTTCTGACATCATTTTTTTTTTATCACAGGAGTCGTCAAGGGAAATCGCCCAAAACTTGGATTTAATTTGAAAATTAAAATAGTTCTCAATTCATGACTGCAAATGAAAATTAATTGATCTTTTTCCTTGTACAATATTATTGCTGGTTTAACGTTGTGCAGATATTCCCTAGTCTCACAAGATGTGTTTATTTTGAAGTAGGTGTAAAAAGAACTATTTAAGAAAAGAGAATATTGGATGACTACAGACTGTATTCATAATCTTAATAAGAAACCCATAAGCCAGTATTGCTTTCCTGGTTTTCTTTAAGGGTACTCGATGCCATAAAGGTAAAACCCCTTCACTCATATTTAAGGCGCTATCCTTTTGCCCTATTTTGAGCCAAACATCTCTGTTGCCCATGGCAGTAGCTTAAATCTATACAATGTTGAATTCCCTTTCCCTTGGAAATTCAATACCAAATTACATGTAGGCCAAAGTCCCTTCATTTAAACCTAGTATACTTTTAAATATTAATCCCTATTTCCCTTTTGCAAGTTATACGGAAGGGCACACCCAGCATAATTCCTGTAGCCTTATAATGATCTATGCCATATTTGGTCAAAATAACTTTCTTGATAAGTTGTGTTTTATAGAAAATGTAGATTGACAATCGATGCCACACCACAGCATCAGATCACTTAGCCCTGTGGAGCATGCGAGGTAAATATTGACGAAACTAAATGAAGCAGGACAGACAGTTTTATGTCAACTAAAACCTGTTGGAATGACGAAGAGTATTGCTATAATTCTACGGTACGTGTTATATCACCAACGCATATCTTTCTTTTGAACATCAAACATTCACGGTAAAGGAAATATTCCTACAGAATAAGGCAAAACAACGATAACAAATACTGAAAAAAATAAAACCATGGAAACCAGTCCTAAACATAGAACATATACCAGGTAAAAAATAAGGTGATGGAATGTTTTTTTTGTCAATAATGTGACATAAACTTAATGAAATAAGTATCGGTGACTTAATACATATCAATATAGTGCCTTTATATAATTTGGCAGGTGTCAGCTCATGATGTTCCGAATATAGAAAACAATTGTATGTTAAATAATATAATACAGTGTAAACACAAATTCTACAGACATTTACAGTATCTAGTGTATGGTTTATGTATAGTAGTTGTGACTAAAACTATAGATTCCTTTTTGTGATCAGTAGATCATGACTTAACAGAAATGATTCTGAGACTGACATACTGTCCCTCGACTAGAGTTCTGAAACATTACTTAACAAGCAATCATCAATTCAAGCTCCATGACTGAGCTTATACAGAGTCATCGACTTGACATCTGAGACCTGGCTGATATAGAAGCCCTCTACTTAAATTCTGAGATTTCATTTACATAACACAATTAACTTAAGTTCTGACACTTTGCTTATATAGAACTCGTCAGTTCTAAGTTTATTTGAAAAACGCTTCCTTCAATTCCGAGACTTAGCCTTTAAAGCTTCCTTCAACAAAGCAGAATAGTAAATGTCAGCGTGACTTTGGAGAAAAATATCTCAAAATGTTTTACAGATGTGTTTAAGATGAAATATATGTTAATCCGTAACAAAAATCCTAAGAAATTTAACTTCAAATACACAAGCAAGTACAGGTACACTAAAAAAAATCTTTTTCATATCAGGAATGGACCACAACTAAGCACCTGTGGGTTACAGGCCGGGGGACACACTGGAAAACCAACAACTACAGAATGGGTGCTGTTAATGTAATTGTTGGGTCAGGTAAGGCTGGCTTCTATGAAATAAAAGATACAAACGTTCCTATCCTAAAAGTGTCTCTGCAAATAAATCAAAACAGAAAAAGAAATTAAGAACAGAACAAGAAAAACAACTGAAACAGAAAAAAAGGAAATATTTATACACAAGAAAGGACACAGACCAAGAGAAAAACGTAAAAAAAGAAATCCCTCGAACCTGAATGTTTCTTTACCAGGAACTTATATTACTTAACTCAATACGATGTTTATGAAATATATCTTAATAAGACTAGAATTGATTACATAGTAACTGTTTGGAAGCCTTCATAAATAATAAGATTTTTTAATGCAATGAGATGTGGATCTCTGACTTTTAGTCCTATGTATATACCTGAAGGTTGGCTACTTTTAAGTTGACGAGTCCTGAAGGGGCTCTATGGCAGCAATGCGATAATATCTTGGAAAATTCCATGCTAGCACAAGAAATCAAACCCAAACCATTTGTATAACAGGCCAGTTGCTATTTCACTGCAAAAATCTGCCCATATACACAAGGTCATGAGATCTTCATTACATCAAAAATCTTTATTTACTAACAGAAAATATCTTACATATAGCTGGTTGTGATCGGTAGATCTATAGTTCATTCTAAAGTTTTATATGGAAATAGGACAGCAACCACTATGTATCTGGGGAAAGTATTTTTGGCAATCCTTGCATCTTTATATGGACATTCTTAAAGAGTGACATTCACAGCAAAACCAGAGTCTACTGTCTTTAGATCACCAATGAGCAAAAAACTGTACAAAATATGTTACATTACTTTTTCTAAAAGCAAATAACATATAAACTTCTCAATTTGGTAATTACTTACCTATGCAGTAACATACAAACATGATTTAGACACCATTACTTTCATACGTACATCCTTGTATACTTATATGAACAATTTATCAGGCACACTCCTATGAACGACTGTAACTTATGTTTGGAATCACAGATTCAAATATTTCTATTTCCCAATTTCACATTTCTATTGATTTTTTTCTCAAAGCTTTTGCAGACCTTAAGTTACAGTAGTTTGTTTATAAAGTAAACTTTACAATTAACATGGCTATCGTAAACTATTCCTTCTAAACAACCTCTAGAAGGCGTTTTGCCAAATTCTTTGTCCGTTGTGGTTTGCTTCAACTCATTCACCCCTAAATTTCATGATGAACTATTCCAACCTTTGAATTGGAAGAGTTCAAATGTGTCTTAAGGGGTGTAGTTAATGCTATTTGGACTTTTGATTCTAGCAGTGAAGCCTTGTCAGATACACATCATCAAACACGTACACACCCATCCTGGCCGACACGTACATCCTTACAGCCTACCCTAATAACAACATAAGGCACGTGAGCATGGCACTTGAAATGTCACCCAGATTTAAAGCACAGATCAAGAAAATACAAGGCATAACATTAATGAATATAAAACATGTTTTGTGGACACGAATTTTGGTTGAACTAAAAAAAGGGTTGAAAATATTGAAGAATTATTTTTCATTCGAGCATGTCCAGGAAATACATAATATTTTATCATTTTTATCCTCTTTATACCATGATACTCATCCAATTTGTAATGAGAGCACATTTTGAGAAAAAGTTGTATTCCAGATTTCCTATCCCATTTATTTTGTATGAGGATATTTACACAATTAACAGGGTTTCTCATCCCTTTTATACACTTTTTTACTAGTTTATTTCCACATGTTAGGGGGTGCATTGTCAACACTAGCAAGATGACGGGGAAAGTGGAATTTTGTATCTTGGTTCATCAATCTAGGACGTCGACCGCTTTTTTGTTTATTCACTTTACCACCATGTCGGGGCGATGGAGTGTGTTGATCCTGATGTCCGTCAGGTATGTTGGGTGGGTCAACATTGTTGTCTTGGGGAGGGGCAGGTCCCACGTGGTTTCCGATTTTCGCACCATGCACCATTTCCCCAGCCTGATTGGAATCATCCTTCCCTTTTTTATGTTTGAAGATATTTCTGTCCATCTCGCCAGCCATATTGGAATCTGGCTTGTCTACCTTGATGTGACCACCAGGGGGCGCCACCTGATGTCCTTGTTTTTCTACATCAAGGAGATCATTATTCCTATGTGGTAAGGGTTGGTCCAAACTCTGTAGAGGAACCAATCAGATAGCTCTCACCATGACTACACCAGACAAGTCGTCACGTTATAGTAACCTAGGTAACTGTTGGCGATGTAATATTCACTGAGGATGAACCACTATTTATATTGAACTGCTCTTGCTTCTCTTCAGTGTAAAATAAGTTTAAATTTCAAGGTTTGTGGGGGATTTTCCAAATTGGTCAAAACATTTGTATTTGTAAAGAAAAATCAGATGTTTTTTCTCTTTATTAGGGTTCCGACATTAGGGGTATTATAGATATATTCAGATTATTAAATATGAAACAATTTAAAGATTCCCTTGAGGCCCTAAATGCTCACAGGTTTTTTCCCTTATTTATTTTTCTGTCTTTATTTTCTTTATTGTCTAATTTGAACTTTAATGTCTATTTAATGACAAATCAATGTCAATTTAATCTTTATGATAAATACAGACAGACTTTCTTATTGCTTCCAGAGATATTAAGGTATAAAATTGACAAAACAGACCATGGACGGATGCTGCGCTATGACATAGAATGTCCAAAGCCTCGTGAGTTAAAACCACTAACCAAGCAGAATTTAGTATGCGTGTCAACTACTCAAGAGTACACCATGAGATAACAAGAAATAGAGATCTACGAGTGTTAAAACAAACAGGTCAAACATAGAATTCCAAAGTGTATATAAAAACATGTAACATGTAACAAACAGTTTTACACAGTAAATAAAAGCATGTAACAGTTAACATAGGGAAGTCACACACACACACATTATATGTAACAACGTAACACAATTCATATCAGGTACTGCGAAGTCGAAATTTTCGTGTGTGGAAATGTTCGCATCATGACCCTTCTTTCTACCGATTGGGGTATATATGGACATTTTCACAATGGCAATAGTTTTAAAACCTATATATTTTATATATCTACAATCTATAAATAACTTTTCAGGTGTAGAAATGTTCGTAATGTGACCCTTTAAATTGATTGCGGAATCAAAAAATTTCGCGATGGCAATAGTTTGAAATCTGTATATTCTATTGACCTATAATTAACCTATAGCTATAAATAAACAGTTCCACTTGGATAGTTTTGTGCAAATCAATCACCACAGAATCGGGTGTCAAAAATGACTATTTCCACATTGCTAAAATTTCCACTTCTACAGTAATTTGTCCATCTTGGCTATGATTGATCAGTTATACAGAAAAGTTTTTGGTGAACTGCTTTATCTTTACCAATTATATTGAACAATATGCGCTACATCATATTTTGCAATATCATTCAAACAATTCTTTATGCAAATATTCCATTTCCAGTAGGATATACCGGTATTTCTTTATCAAATTAACTTTTTTTCACAAAATGTCTGTTTTTAAAATTGATCATCTTTTTTTAATCAATGAAATTAATCATTCCATCAAAAACAAATGGTTACTGATGGCAGAGAGTCTACACGATTTGCTGATCGTACCTCTTTAAACCGAGGAAGAAGGTCATGATAACATAGTATATCTAACACTGAACATTGAACATGGCTTAAATAACACATAAATTGTTCCCGAAAACCCGGACACAGTAAGACCTGTTTACTCATTCACCCCTGAAGACACATTTGAACTCCTCCAGTTCAAGGGTTGGAATAGTTTATTATGAAAATTCAGGGGTGAGTGAGTTAAGACAATACAAGTTACCACACATTGGGATTAGCCACATTTACATCGCCTACCTCTCTAAGAGGTGGAATATTTTGCTGTGGATTGTCAGCTACATTGGGTGGATCAACATTGTCGTTAGCTGGAGGAGCAGGTCCAACCTGATGATCTGCCTTGGGGTCTGGCTCCATTTCCCCGGCCTGGTTGGAATCATGCTTCTTGTTTTTCCCGGTTTTTTCATTGAGAAGATTTTTATCCATCTCACCAGCCATATTGGAATCTGGCTTGTCTACCTTGATGTGCTCCCCAGGGGGAGCCATCTGATGTTGTTGTTGCTCTGCATCCAGGACAGCGTTTGCGTCCTGTTTGACCTTTACCTGACTGGGATCAATTCCTAACTGCTTCAGGCCGCCATATTGATTCTGTAGGGTAGAGGCACCAATCAAAAAGCTTTCTCACAAACATTGGCAGTACCCAAAGTCTGTTGTCAAATGTTTTATCAATATTCTAGCTTAGTTTTATTTACTCTGCCAACTAAAATAAAAATAATATTTTTGGCATAAAAGCAACTATATCTAGTGATATTTTATTTACTTTTTGAACTCCCAGCAACCCTAAACAGTTGGTATACTGAAAGCACTTCACAAATTGGTGAAAAGATTTGAAGGTCGAAATCCTATGAACTACTGAATGGATTTGTTTAAAAAGGTAGACATGCATTTCTTGCAATCAATAAAATAGATTTTATTTTCTATAAGACTCCTGTTTCAAAATGCTTCTGCATACATCTTGAAGATCTCTTAATATTGAGATGGGAAAGTAGTAATACTGATCAGATCATAGACAATGCAAGATGATTTAAGGTATAAAAAGGATAGCACTGATCAGATGCAGCAAGGGTACAAATGTGTATAATGCATGTACAGCAAAAAGACTTCAATACTTTGAAAACATACAGCAGACCTCGACAACAGCCTCTTAGGGTATGTCTGGTACTATATGATAAATCAGGGTATTTTTTACCAGTCTGGAGTAGTGGTATAATATAAGCTTTATCTGAATTTACTCTATATCAAGATAATATATGGTGATCTACTCAATATCGTTTAATTAAATAACTATGTTGTGTATATAACAACATTTCAGCCTATAACCTAGGAAGAATGGATGCAGTTTTTTCCAACATTTGCTATAAAAAATGTATACAAAACACTGATGCCATTTTAACTAAATGGCACCATTCAGATAATTATCAGAAAATTCACTATTTCTCCATAACCAACTACACCTGCTACCCCAAACTTCTAGTACATTATATCTCTTTGTTATAGTGACTACTAGAAATACCCCACCAGATAAGTCATGTGATTTCATGGCCAGACTATAAAATTGGAATCTTAGAGCAGCTGAGCTATATGAAACCTATTACCAAATCAGACTTGCACACCTCTGTCCACAATCCTGACCAAATTATAGACATAAAAACATCCACAGGGTCAGATTAGACAAGTGATTTCTCAACCAGATAGGACAAGTGATTCCTCAACCAGATAAGACAAGTGATTCCAAACCTGATAACATGATTCCCCTAACCAGATTAGACTCACCATTCCAAAAGCAGATAAGATATGTGAATCCTTGACCCAATTAGACATGTGATTCATCGACCAGATTAGTAACTTTATTCCAAAACCAGATTAGACGTGTGATTGCTGACCAGTTTAGACATGTGAATATCTACCCATATTAGACATGTGAATATCTGACCATATTAGACATATGATTCCTGACCAGATTAGACATGTGATTCATGACCAGTTTAGACATGTGTTTCCTGACCAGTTTAGACATGTGCTTCCTGACCAGTTTAGACATGTGAATATCTACCCATATTAGACATGTGAATATCTAACCATATTAGTCATATGATTCCTGACCAGTTTAATTTAGGCATGGGATTCATGACCAGTTTAGACATGTGTTTCCTGACCAGTTTAGACATGTGAATATCTACCCATATTAGACATGTGAATATCTGACCATATTAGACATATGATTCCTGACCAGATGAGACATGTGAATCTATAACAACATTAGACATGTGATTCATCGGCCAGATTAGTAACTTTATTCCAAAACCAGATTACACATATGATTCCTGACCAGTTTAATTTAGGCATGGGATTCATGACCAGTTTAGACATGTAAATCTATAACAACATAAGACATATGATTCCTGACCAGATGAGACATGTGAATCTATAACAACATCAGACATGTGATTCATCGACCATATTAGTAACTTTATTCCAAAACCATATTAGACGTGTGATTCCTGACCAGTTTAGACATTTGATTTCTGACCAGTTTAGACATGTAAATCTATAAAAACATATAAGATATGTGATTCCTGAGCAGTTTAGACATGTAAATCTATAACAACATAAGACATGTGATTACTGACCAGTTTAGACATGTGAATCCCTAACCAGATAAGACATGTGAATCTATGACAACATAAGACATATGATTCCTGACCAGATTAGACATGTGAATCTATAACAACATCAGACATGTGATTCATCGACCATATTAGTAACTTTATTCCAAAACCAGATTAGACGTGTGATTGCTGACCAGTTTAGACATGTGATTCCTGATCAGTTAAGACTTGTAAATCTATAACAACATAAGCCATGTGATTCCTGACCAGTTTAGACATGTAATCTATAACAACATAAGACATGTGATTACTGACCAGTTTAGACATGTGAAGATCTAACCATATTAGACATGTGAATATCTAACCATATTAGTCATATGATTCCTGACCAGTTTAGACATGTCATTCCTGACCAGTTTAGACATGTAAATCTATAACAACATAAGACATGTGATTCCTGACCAGTTTAGACATGTGAATATCTAACCATATTAGACATGTGAATATCTAACCATATTAGACATATGATTCCTGACCAGTTTAGACATGTGATTCCTGACCAGTTTAGACATGTAAATCTATAACAACATATAAGATATGTGATTCCTGACCAGTTTAGACATGAATCTATAACAACATAAGACATATGATTCCTGACCAGTTTAGACATTTGATTTCTGACCAGTTTAGACATGTGATTCCTGATCAGTTAAGACTTGTAAATCTATAACAACATAAGACATATGATTCCTGACCAGTTTAGACATGTCATTCCTGACCAGTTTAGACATGTGAATCCCTAACCAGATAAGACATGTGAATCTATGACAACATAAGACATATGATTCCTGACCAGTTTAAGTTAGACATGTGATTCATGACCAGTTTAGACATGTGATTCATGACCAGTTTAGACATGTGATTCCTGACCAGTTTAGACATGTGATTCCTGACCAGTTTAGACATGTGAATCCCTAACCACATTTCCCTTTAATTTTAGCTTTGTCTTTTAAGTTCAACCAAACAGATCATCAGTATAACTTCTCTTTCATCAATGAAACATTACACATATATGGTTTTGTGTCTGTACTGTAATCATACATTTTTTAGCAGTTAACTTAATTACTCCATTTTCATATTTGAAATAATTTCAATAATGCACCAAATTACAGTTGGGCTAACTGAAGGTCCCTGTATACTGTTTCTATCTCATATATTGTATTTGTGCATGTGTCAATTCATCAATGTCCTGAATGAATTAAAATTAGATAATGTGCTAAATTTTGAATGTTTAATTTACAGTACATGATTTTGTGTCGACTTGTGAGGGATACTTGTGATACTATCGTTCTTTATCTGCAACAAAAGGCTGAATTTCTGAATATTCTGCCTAACAAAGAAAACAGGTGAGGCTAATTGATGATTTATTTTGAAAATTGTTTCATATTTCAATCTAAACAAATTTCGGACATCCATTTTTAATGTAACTATAGTGAAAAACCATAATGTACTTGGATAGAAAGGTCATGCACACCCACTCCTGAGATTAATACACAGCTGACAGCCCTATGCATTAGCGTTTTCGGCTTATTTGGCTATACTTCCAAAAGTATAAATGCAATATAATGCATCTGGTACACTAATGCAGGGTTCAAATTAACTAATATACCTGGTTTTACACATGCAAAGAAAATCAGGAAATTTGAATAAGTCAACAATATATCAGATTTTTTTGTGCGTTAATACTGTAAATCTAGCTGCTTGTATGCAGTTCTTATTTTTGCTACTATTCAGCCAAAATATTTCCACAAAAATAACGATCCAGTTAAAATATTTATTATTGGGAAGAATTAGTATAGAACCCTCTCATATTACATGTAAAACGGTTTGATTATGAGAGGGCAATAGCTAATACATTTGAAGGAAGTTTTTAAGCGAACAAAATTTTCACTTTCAGTGTTATGCTGTGAAACCTGGAGTGGACAACACCAATGATGCTACGGAGTGATTCCTATGTCGCATTCTCTTTGCAGAGAACACGAAAATCATGAACAGATAATCTACAAAATTTAAAAAAAAAATTGGTGTAAATTTGAGAAAATAATGAACCCACAAAAAAGCAGCTTTTACAGTAGCCGTTATCAGGGACATCTGTATCATATTTGGACTGAGAGAGTAAGATAGGGACTGTGTGAGTAAACAACTGTTAGAACTCAGGTTACTGCTCAATTATAGAATGTGAGCAAATATAAATACAAGGGAATCAAGCAACTGCTCCATGCATTAATCATGACAGGTAACTAGTATCATGCAACAACATCTCAATGTGCTTAGTACCTTAATCCTATTTTGTCAACAGAAACATCATTTTAATCTATCATCATAAGGCTTTTTATCCATTCAACATCTGAGAAATTTGCTAGATCAGTTTGAATTTGAAGGAAAATTATCCTAAGCAAAATCTCTATCTCTTAAGTTAGTATAAGCAGGAAAATTTGTTTCTTTTCGTGTTATTAATGTTAAATACAAAATGTCTTACTCTTCAGATATTCACATGTTAATATGTTTATCCCTTCAAATATTTACTGCAATTTATCCCTTCAAATCTTTACTGCAAAATTTTCCATCCAAATTCAAAGAAATACATAATTAGAATGAGATCAAATGAAACAAATGAAAAATCTCAAGATCCAAAACACTCAAAACAATACAGATAAAACTTTAAGATTTTTATCCATTTTTTTGGTTTATTTACACTAAGTTTAAAGAGGATGTGAGGAGACTGTAGCATGCTATATAGGAACAAGGCTTACCTTATCCCCCTGACCTGCATCCAGATTTGGAGCCTGCACTTGATGTTGCTGTTGTTGCTGTTCCATCAAATTATCGGATATTTTATGATTTCCTGAAATTAAAACCAATTTTGTAAGTCTTGAATATGTTTAAAACTAGAAAATGTCTGTAAGACATAAATGCCTCTGCTCATGGATGGGACGGAATATGCCCCCCCCCCCCCCCCCCCCCCATTTTGTGACGGTGGCATACAAATATGTTTAGTCATCTAGACACACGTTTCATTATCTCTGTCCAACTGTTATAATGACCAATTGAAATTGTCAAGGTGACTCTACATTCTTTTCTCTACTAGTACCTGGTATATGATTGACTCATTTACTTTTTGTACCCCTGAAATTTCAGAATTAAATAGTCTGACCTTTGAATTGGAAGAGTTCAAATGTGTTTCCAGGGGTGAATGCGTTAAGGTGACTACATCATCCTGTCTGATATCTTACCTACAACAGGCTGTTGCTGCATTTCCTGTACGTCCTGTAAAGATAAAACACCTGAAGATATAGTCAGTGTCGATATCATATGCTTTGTTTGTTAGTGTAGCTTGGTTTTTAATCGGAAATGGTGCATGTTGTTGCTCTGACACATATTAGTGTAAATGGACAAAATGTCCACTTTTATCATGATAAATCCCTTTAAGAGGGAATGGATGTTTTCAATATCATTGATCAAGTCTTCAGTATCAATGATATAAGAGGTAAACAAGAATTCCGCGATGCCGTACATGATACGCCCGTCAGATGTCGAATGAGCAGTTTGCCACAAAGGGCCATAAGTGAATAAAGTTATTGCGCAGAAATTGTGTTCCGACAATTCTCCAAAAGGCTGTAAGTCCGTAAACTATGGCTGAAGTTATTGAGCAGAAAGTGTTACATCAACTCTATAAAGGGCCATAACTCTCTTGATAACAGGCGGATAATGGTTATAGAACTTGTGCAAGCTTTCATAGAAATGATCCTTCCTATGAAGTTTAAAAAGGTTCTATTCAAATTTACTGAGCGGAAACCGTGTTACGTCAATTCTATAAAGGGCCATAACTCCCTTAATATGTGCAAGCTTTCATAGAAATGAACCTTCCTGTGAAGTTTGAAATTAATCCATTCAAGATTACTCAAGTTATTGAGTGGAAACTGTTTCGGAAATTCTACGAAGGGCCATAACTCCGTAAATAACTGGCAAATGATTTTGGTTATCGTCGTTGTCCGAGCGTTCATGACAATGAACCTTCCTACCAAGTTTGAAATGAATCCATTAAAAATTACTTAAGTTATTGATCGGAAACTAATGTGTGCCCACTCGAACGCACGCCTGCCCGAACACTTGAAAACATAATATGAGAAGACAACTGAAAATGAATACACCAAGGACAAACTAGGTAATAAAGTTTACCAATACATAATCGACTGGCAGACTGTGAAACTCTACATTTTACCAATATGAAATACATATGCATATCATGCCTGGTAAAGTACCATATGACCCTATTATCAGTGGATACAATATATAGCCTAACAGAACTCATGAAAGCCTCGTTGAAGAATAAATTGATAACATGACAATGTTACCTGATTTTTCTGAGCCACCAAATTGTCTCCCCCTTGTTGCTGATGATCACCGACCAAAGGGTTATCATTCCCCATCAGAAATCCCTGCTTGGGTGGCTGGCCCTGGATAGGTTGGAATTGAAGGTTTTGCTGGGCCTGCTGTCCTGGTAGCTGATTAAGTTGTGGAAGGGGATTGTTTTGTTGTAAAATACCCTGGTTTTGTTGGAGAAACCCTTGTTGTGGTAGTCCCTGTTGTGGTTGTTGTGGTTGTTGTTGTTGTTGTTGTTGTTGGAGTTGTCCCCCTTGTTGCTCAAATGGTTTCTGAGCCTGCTGAGCTTGAGCTAGCTGTAGATTCTGCTGTCTGATCTTTTCCTAAACAAAAATAAACATATCTTTGTAAAACAAATTCAAGTGGAACAACCAAATCATGTTTTCCTTTGGGATGGATTTACTAACAACTGTTACTCACAAGTGGTCAAGAGATTTTTTATGACAATCAACTATAATTATACGGATTCTGTTTCATTTAAATACCCTCCGAGCACTGTCACACTATTTTTACATTAATTTGAGATTATCTACTTTTTTTACCAGTGTCACCCTGAAAAACTCTAATAAGATACTTTTTTACAAGTCATCACACTGATACTGATATCACAGTATACTCCGGTATTCTCTTTTATATTCACATATTGCATAAAGCATTAATTCATTAAAATCATAAATATTTTGATTTGCTAACCAATATTGCATTAAAAAGTAGGACACTACATGTACATCTACTCCCAAAAGAATTACACCACATTGACCTTTTCCAAATTAATGACCTCAGCTGTTAATAGTATACCAAACCGATAAACCAACCAACCAAATTTCTTTATATACAAATGTACTTTAATGTAAATTTCATATATATTTTTATAACTCAAGCTTATGTAGGATGCTAGATATACAAATGCAAATATATTTTTCAGCCATGTAATTAAATGTAAAATAAAGAACTCCACTATTATATTTGCAGTTCCCTAGGCTAGTGTCAGCGGCTATAGCGAACATGCTTATAATTAAGTCCCCTTGTAACAGATTGTAGATCGTTGAATGGTTTGTAAGCTATTATTTGATGTTACACAGTATTTGTGACAGATGGCGACTACAGAGTGCTTCAATTACCAAATTGCAATCATTTCTGAAGACAAGGCTGAAAAAGATTAACTGCTGAATTTAACATTATCCAGTAAATGATTCGTGAAATTGTACATGTGACACCCTTCCTGCAGTGTCATCATCCAGTACTTTTCTAATAATGATATGTCACCTTATGTTACTACTTTATAAACCTGCTTTCTGAATACCAATTTTGAAAATATATGCTTTAAAATGGTATTTCTGTTTCATCACTCATCAATTGCAAGCTGAAAATTTCCGAAGTACTGATTCTTTGTATCTAATAGTATTTGGACTAACATTCCTTTTACTGTAAATCATTTCATCCCCATTCAAACAATATATCCATGAAGTTATCATTCACTTATAGGGAATACAGAGGCAGCATTCAATAAAATCAAATATGTTTTCTTTCCTTCAAACATACAACCATAAGTTCATCCTCGACAATCCAGGAGTTACGCCCACTTTTGCTGTGTTCACCCCTGGAATATGTCGTGATAGCAAAATTGAAGGCTTAGTGTGTGCCATCTTGGGGATGATACAAGAACTAGTTCTATCCTTTGATGTACATCAAAAGAATCCCATGTTAGTCCAACAGTAAAATGTACAGGCTTAAAAGTCAGATGTTGCTCCTCTGTAATCTTCAAAAGGACTAGCATCAGCCTAGTGATTGGTCAGGTTTTTTCTATCAGATACCAATCAAATAGCTAGCGGCTTGCCTTTAATATTGCTATGACATATTTGAGGGGTGCATAGAGTGAAAGTGACTGATACCCCTCGAGTAATGAGGATGCCATAAATTTGTGTAAGTGTACATGTCTACATAACTACCAATCCACAAAGTTAATATCAGCCAGGTGGAATTTGATGTGCATGCTGTGTGCCCAAACATTACCCTCCCGCAGGCATATGCATTTAATTTGAAAGTATTGAGTTTTACATGCAAAATGCAAGGTTAAAACTACCTTTGATTGACTTAGAGATTTGTTTTGTGAAAAAATACCCATTTGTTGTGGACTTATTTAACCTAGAGGTAAGGTCACAGTGACCTATATATAGTAAATTGAACATCCACGGTTGGTTTTGAAGTTTAATTCAGATGTCTTGAACAGTTTAAATTTACAGAAAAGTCATAACTTACCAAATCTTTTTTTGACTAATTTGACTTTAGACCAATTGAAAGATATTCATGATTGCATTATGTTGCACTGCACACCTCTGTGAGTGAAACATGTATACTTCACTTTTAACAAGGTATCTGGTATCAAGATACAATGTCACTGGTGATTAGAAAAGGAGTAAAATACTCAGAATTGAGCAAAATAAAATGTTTAGGGGTAAAATAAAACGTCTAGGAGTAAAATAACCTGGAAAGGAGTAAAATTTTACCCCATACGTTTTATTTTACCTCTATCCGGGTTATTTTACCCCTTTGACAAGTTAAAGTACTCCTAGATTATTATTTTACCCCCATGACGAGTTAAAGTACTCCTATTTAAGTTATTTTACCCCCCTGACGAGTTAAAGTACTCCTAGATTATTATTTTACCCCCCTGATAAGTTAAAGTACTCCTATCCGGTTTATTTTACCCCCCTAACGAATTAAAGTACTCCTAGATTATTATTTTACCCCCCTGACAAGTTAAAGTACTCCTATCCGGTTTATTTTACCCCCCTGACGAGTTATAGTACTCCCCGATTATTATTTTACCCGTAGACGTTTTATTTTACTCATTGGACTTTTAAAGTACTCGTGGCTTTTTATTTTACTCGTGGCTTTTTATTTTACCCCCTTTATTTACCTGTGCTCCACGGCAACAGGATCTGCGCTGGCGGTTAGCTAGGCCTTTGATCTAACCGGGTAGTAGCCTGTCGACCACTTCGAGCTGCCGCGGGCGGTGTCAAGCATCACCAGGTAGCTCTGTTCATGTGTGAACACTTGTCAGTCGACAGCTCGCCTCATAATTAACAACGTGTCTGTGCTTTGTTCACCTATGTTTATTTGGTGTAATCAGAATAAAACTATGGAACTGTGCCGTGTTTGTAATTTACTTCAACTTGAAACTGGTGTTTTGGAATACGTGTTTGATACATACTCGATTTATGTCAAATTAAACTTTGAAAATGTGCCGTGTTTGTTACATACTCGAACAGCGCCGTTGAAATACATGTTTAAAACTATGGAATTGAGCCGTGTTTGTAATTTACTTCGACCTGGTGTTTTGAAATACGTGTCTGTAACATAATCGAACTGTGCCGTTAAAATACATGTGTATACACTCCATTAATATGTCAAATAAAACTATGGAATTGTGCCGTGTTTGTAATATACTTCGGCCGTGTCTGTTGAAATATGTTTGCTTATTACTCGATTTGTAATAAAAATATATTTAAATACATTTATCGTGTTTGTACTTTATTCGGCCTGATGATCTAAAATACGTGTTTATTAAACACTCGATTAATATGTCAAATTAAAACTATAAAACTGTGCCGTGTTTGTAATTTACTTCGACCTGGTGTTTTGAGATACGTGTTTGTTACATACTCGAACTGTGCCGTTGAAATAATACACTCAACAAATATGTCAAATAAAACTATGGAATTGTGCCGTGTTTGTAATTGATATCGGCCTGGTGTTTTGAAATACATGTTTGATGTTTTATACACTTACTATGTCAAAATAGAACTATGGATTTGTGCCGTGTTTGTTATTTATATCGACCTGGTGTTTTGAAATAAATGTTATATACATTCTCGATTAATATGTCAAATTAAACTATAGAAACTGCGGTGTTTGTAATTTACTCCGACTTGGTGTTTTGAAATTCGTGTTTTAAACACTTGATTAATGTGTCAAAATAATACTGTGCCGCGTTTGTAATTTACTTCGACCTGGTGTTTTGAAATACGTGTTTATAACACACTCGAACTGTGCCGTTGAAATAATACACTCCATTAATATGTCAAATTAAAACTATAAAACTGTGCCGTGTTTATAATTTACTTCGACCTGGTGTTTTGAGATACGTGTTTGTTACATACTCGAACTGTGCCGTGTTTGTAAATTACTTCGACCTGGTGTTTTAAGATACGTGTTTGTTACATACTCGAACTGTGCCGTGTTTGTAATTAGCTTCCATCTGGGTTTTTTAAACATTCTCGAACTGTGCCGTGTTTGTTAATTACTTCGACCTGGTGTTTTGAAATACGTTTTTGTAACATAATCGAACTGTGACGTTAAAATACATGTTTTATACACTCCATTAACATGTCAAATAAAACTATGGAACTGTGCTGTGTTTGTAATTTACTTCGGCCGTGTCTGTTGAAATATGTTTGCTTATTAATCGATTTATAATAAAAATATATTTAAATATATGTATCGTGTTTGTACTTTGTTCGGCCTGATGATCTGAAATACGTGTATATTAAACACTCGATTAATATGTCAAATATAAACTATAAAACTGTGCCGTGTTTGTAATCTACTTCGACTTGGTGTTTTGAGATACGTGTTTGTTGCATTCTCGAACTGTGCCGTGTTTGTAATTTACTTCGACCTGGCGGTTTTTAAAATGTACGTGTTTATAACATACTCGAACTGTGCCGTGTTTGTAATTTACTTCGGCCGTGTCTGTTGAAATATGTTTGCTTATAACTCGATTTGTAATAAATATATTTATATATAAATTTGTCGTGTTTGTACTATATTCGGCCTGATGATCTGAAATACATGTTTATTAAACACTTGTGTAATATGTCAAATTAAAACTATAAAACTGTGCCGTGTTTATAATTTATTTCGACCTGGTGTTTTGAGATACTTGTTTGTTACATACTCGAACTGTGCCGTGTTTGTAAATTACTTCGACCTGGTGTTTTGAAATACGTGTTTGTAACATTGTCAAACTGTGCCGTTAAAATCCATGTTTTATGCACTTCATTAATATGTCAAATAAAACTATGGAATTGTGCCGTGTTTGTAGTTTACTTCGGCCGTGTCTGTTGAATATGTTTGCTTATTTCTCGATTTGTAATAAAAAATATATTTAAATAAATTTGTTGTGTTTGTACTTTATTCGGCCTGATGATCTGTAAAACGTGTTTATTAAACACTCGATTAATATGTCAAATTAAAACTATAAAACTGTGCCGTGTTTGTAATTTACTTCGATCTGGGGTTTTTTAAACACACTCGAACT